CCGTCGTGTTACTGTCAGTCTTTATACCATTGACCTTCGCCAGAAAGCTGAGATTAATTTGACTTCGACCCTCAGAGATTAAAATGTCATGTTAATGGATGCACGGATTGATGGGTGGGGCGGGTGGATGGATGGATATAATTTAGTTTGCTTACTATTAAGTAACTATATAACCTGTAAGGACAAGTGATCATGGGAACATAATGGAAAGAAGGCCTGGAGGAGGAAAGTGTTCAAATATTCTAGCGACTTCTGAAACTACAATCTAATGCAGAAGTGAAGGAGCTTCAACATCTCCAAACACGAACATACCGCACACAAATGGGCAATTGTGGTGCTTAGTTCTGAGTGTGTTAGAGTTCTGGATAATGGACTGAAGTTGATAAGGTGACGGCGAGGAACAACTTCATTCGTCCCGTGTAGAACCTTTACCATCTGAGCAGACCTAAAACACTTTCATCAGCTGGAGCTGGAGTCAAAATCCATCAGACAGTTGGAAGCCTAAGAGCGCGACTAAAACTAAGAAAGTACAAAAATAGTTATTAATTGTTTGGAGTTCTGTGGACTGGAAAACAGAAATCTCAAATAATAATAATGAGGATTATGAAGTAAACTTTTGTGTGTATTTACATTTACAAATTTATGAAGTACACTTTTGTGTGTATTTACATTTACAAATGGTGTGTGCGTGACTGGGTGTTTTGCTCCTTGCAGCACCAGTTCTCAAAGTGAGGGGTGCGGAAACCAAAGTGAACGGCCAGTGAATGTCCTTTTGCTCAATTACAGTTTTTAAACAAAGTTCAGTTAAAGATTTGACAATCAAAACAATGGTGAACAAAGGAGGATCAAACAAATACACAAAGTTTATGAAGCACTTGTAACACTGCACTGTGGTTGCAGTGTGTTGCACTGCAAACACAGTTTAATCAAACCAACAAAATAAAAGTCAACCGATGAAGACGTAGCTTTACCGACACCGATCTTCTCACCGAGAAGACAATATTACCTATTGAATTATAACATTAGTTTTAGTGACAGATAATCCCAGACTCACCGCGGAGGTCTCCACAGTTTCCTGCCAGGGGGGAGTAGCTCCCTTTTATTCAGAGGAACAATTCCGATGGCTGCCTGCATGATGGTGATGAACTTCTTAAACTTCATCTTTGAATTTTTCCCTCTAGCATCGAGAGGATCCCAAAAGCGGATCAACTCCGACGGCTGCTACATCCACCGAACATCTTCTCACAAACAGCAGAACCAAAACCACATTCAACAGCTCCTTCATGGAGAACCAATGATCAGACTCCTCAACAGGAGAACGGGTTCCTGTGGAGTGGCTTTTACACAGATTTCTGTGATGCCCTTTTTCTGAGCGAGTGAGGATAAAAAAAGAAAAAAGGGAAACCAACAGCCACGCTGTTGCCAGGTGGTGGGCTGGTCCAGCTGGGATGACAATGACACGTCACTCTTACATAATTCTGATCTTCTCTGGATATTACACTAATGAAAATGCAGCGTCTGCCATTGCTGCTGCTGTCACCGCTGCTGCTGCAGTCACCACTGCTGCTGGGATAATTGTGGCACTAAGCCTGGGCAGACCCCTCCGCCCCATGCTAACATAATCCCTCCGCGCAACCAAGCTCAGTCTTGTCACCATTTTACACCCAGATAGACGCATCACCCCACCCCACATGCTCTCACACCTCCGTAATCACCGAGAGGACTGGAATAGATGCGAAGAACCTTCAGACTGATGTGAAAAAATTAGTCAAAACAAATACAGTTGGGTTTTCTTGGTGTAAAATGGAGCTCTTAAGTAAAGTAAAGTAAAGATGGAACAGATTTAAATAGATAATACTTCAAGTAAACACTTGACAGTGGATTTAAAACTTGGACTTTGACAAAACTGTGCACGTGTGGGGGGGAAAAAAATAATGTTCATAAAAGTGTAGCCACAAAATTCAAAATTTTACAAAAGAAATATCTTTGTGATCCTTCCCACTGCCCCACTGCTTTAGAAGCAACAAATGGGGACTGGACTCCCATGATGTCGACACATTCACAGCTGTTTCTTTGAAATAAATATATATGTATATATATATATATACATATATATATATAAAATCAATGTAAATGTAATAAAATTGCGTTACTCATTAGACAAAATGACAAATAAGTACTCTGTTCCTCTCCACTGTACTCCACTAGTACATATTTACTCCTTTGCTGCATCACGCAATGGTTACTCACTCCCCACTTTGGGAACCGCTGTCCTACAGCAATATGATTAGGATTATTTTGATAAAAAAAAAAAAATCAAAAATAGTTTAGTAGTCTTTATTTATTCACATTCTTGAGGTCACATGACTAAAACCTCCACTCTTCTACCCAGGTGACCATCCGCATTTACACACTGCACAGATTTAACATGTGCATTGTGTCAAACTAGTCAGCAGCTGACAGCAGGCTTCATGTCCTGAGAGGGGTTGAAAACAAATAATCTGTGCTACAGACTCGCCACCAGCTGGCCGCCAATACAAACTCTATAGACAGGATTTATACTCCAGCAGCTTGGAAGTCTGGATTATAGCTCTGAGGGACAAACGCACGAGAGCTGCTGCTGCTGCTGATGTGGATGAGCAGGGGGAAAAAAACCCTCACTGCTCTGAGGACACCAAAAATACCAGGGACACAGGATGGACGCACCAAAACTACAAGTCTATCTTTAAACTAGGATCTCCAAGGCAGGCCTTGGAGAACCTCTCACTGCAGCTGTTACAGCTCAGCATAAAAAATAAAAAAAAAAAAAAAAAAGTAGTAATTTCATGATTCACAGTAGAATCAAGTCTACACCAAGCAGATTAAACTGATTAAAATTTTAATTAGGTTTAATAAGGCACAAAAAAATTAAGAGATCTGATTAAAAAAAAAGTCTTGCCTGTCTTTAATCAAAGAGCTCCTGACTAAAAAAAGGAAAATGCAACAGTGTTAAAGAAAGGAATATAGAATTCTGCATGCATTATTTTAAACTGTGTCTCAATATAATCACAATAGTTTGTTTATAGTTTGTGACGACTCCCTGCTGCCACGACCCCCGAGGGTCCCCACAGTGCTTATATTTAAAATTAAGTGTAAAAAAGGTAATTTAAAATCTATTATTAAATTAATCATTTAAATTTTAGCTTTATTATAATCGTAAAAGTATATAAGGTGTACTGTGGTTAACGTTCCTTCTGAGGGTGGGGGTTGAAATCCAGCATGTGTCAAACTGCTGAACAAAAAACTTACTCGGGTTATAAGTTTTAGCGAATTTTTCTTATAACATGAATCAATGAATTAATTGTGAAACATGACATCCGTGTACCAAAACAAAACCTGTGTAAATTCGTGAAGACACTGAAAACACTGATATCCAAGACGGAAGAAAGTGTTCCGACAGAAACTCCAACATGGCAGACGTCGTTTCAAAAAAAGAAAAACACAAAACATTTTCGATGGTACATAACAACAACAAATTAAAGTTGGATTTACTCACCAGGTAGGTTAAAAATGGTGTCGCTTTCAGTTGAGTGATGTATTAAACTTGTCACTGACTGAACTAAAAGCGAAAAAAAAGAGCTTAAGTGACGTTTTGTCTGCTTCTTTCTGCTCCACTTGCTCTGTTTCCGGGTTTTCTCAGGTATGTGGGCATGGCTTCTGAACTGCAGGTGCTCTACTGTGCACTGACTCCTCACTTCCTCTAGCGGCAGGAGGTGGGACCGCTTCACTTATTGGTTTTGGTTGTAATCCGAGAGGGACCGAAAGTGACACACGATGAGTCACTTTGCTGTGTTTGTTTCATAAATACACGTCAGAAAACCGATGGGTTTCAGTCACACACATGGACTCAAACACAGATTGATGAGAAATTAGAACCATCAGAAGCTACCATATAATTAATGTAATACATTTAGTTACATGACAAACTTTGGAACAAATACTAAACCGGACAAGAAAGTAATTACAATATTTGTCGAACCTCTGGGACCAGAAGACCAGAACCTGGAATGGGTATTGTAAAAAAAAAAAAAAACCCCGTCCATTTTAACAAGTAGACAGACATACAGTAGTTCTCTTTTATTAGCACATTTTATTAATTAAAAAATAATTAATTACCGTAACGTAACCTCTTCTACTGTATCTGCTTAGTTGCAATCACTCACATTTCAGCAACCCAAGTGTTTAAATTATAGTGTGTGACGTCTTACTGTTGTGTCATAATAATAATAAAGACTTCCTGATATGCATTGGGAATGACAAGACAAAAACAGAAATTACATAATTATTTATTTGTTGAATAACAACAGAGGTTCTATGATACACTTACAGCAGGTGTACAGAGTGTGAATCACAACTACGTTTGTGAACAGTGAATTATCTAAGTAAGGCATACAAACACATAAAAGGACAAAAGCAGAACAAAAACAGGCTTAAAATTTAAAATATTTTCTAGAGAAAAAAAATCAACAAGAAAACATTTATTCCATCATGTGTTAAAATACAATGCGGTCCAGTCCAGTAATAGTATTAGAAATACTAATATTTATTTATCATTCTCGCATTCAACTTTTAAATGCATTAAACCAACTGTGTAATGTTTGAATTTTGTGGTTTTTATTGTTGTTATTGTTGAGATCGATCAATTGTCTGGAAAAAACTTCTTCTGAAGGACAAAAAGCTCAAACTAATACAAAGAAACTAAATGTGAAGGTATCATTGAGTAAAGTGCAATAGACCATCTGAACATCACTATGACCATGTTTAAATACCTTTTCCATATTTAAATCTATTTTTTTCAAAAACTATTTTATATTTAATTCTTTTAAGACTTCTCTTTATAAAATGTACCAAATTCAGTTTAGCTACGAGCACTGAAATGTGCTTTTTTTAAATAATAGATTTTTAATTTTTTCAGCCACTGAGCTTAGTTAATTAATTTAAAGTTAATTTATATTTTTTACATTTCTGTTAGATTAGCAGCAGAGTGTGTGAAGAGGCAGACTGGTAGTGTGATCCCCACGCCGACACTGTGGGTCAGATGTCGGTCATACTGAGGGGCTGAAAAGACGAAAGCCTCTGATTTCTTCTCACTAGAAAAGAAAAAAAAACACATTGTTTTTCCTCTTTTTGAAAAAGAGTGAAAAAAAAAAAACAAGACCTGAACATTTTTTTTCACCTGAACGAAGACAATTAAAAAAAAAAAACTATGGTGAAAGATATTGTGAAAACTTCCTAATTTTATACAGTTTACTTTTTGGAGAGCAGTTACATAATGCACTTTTTTTTTTTTTTTTACCAAGTAGACGTCCAGTTCATGATCTGACGGACTTCTGCTCATGGCCAGCAGGGGGTCGTCAAGAGCCACGGTTGAACTGGAATCACGTCTGTCTTCACTGACATGTAAAAACACGTTGGTAACAAAGTTGGCGTAGTTCGTGTGCAGAGAAGAACATATTATTTCTGACTGATTTGTTTATTTGAACCTGGTGTATTCTGTTCTGTGTGAAGATTAACTCTGGGTTTTAGACAAAAAATGAATTATTGATAGTCAGACCTGCTTTCTGCGCCAACAGAGTTGGACGTTAAGGTGACGACAGATGCTGGCAGGAGATCAGGTTGTTTGGAAGAGATGAAAACTAAAACAGCAGGAGACAGAATCATCAACCACAAACACACAGGCAGCGTGTGTGTGTGCGCGCGTGCGTGTGCGTGTGTGAGTTTTGTCCCGATCTTACGGTTTCCATCCAGGTGTTCCATGCTCTGTGCCTTTTTCTCCTTCTTCTTCTGCTCCTTCTCCTCCCTTGATGTGGACAGAACCTCCTGAGAGGCCGACTTGGCTGCGTGCAGAGAATTCTTCTTCTTCTTTGAGGATGCGCCTCTCAGAGCTGAGGAGACCAGGAAGAGAAGTTCGGGTGAGATGAGAATGAACAACATGAGAGCTCCGAATGAAACATGCGAAGTCTGAGAACATGGTTGTCATGAGATGGGACAAGGGGATTTAGATGAATCTACTTCTGTGACATTTGACTTGATGACCAACAGTCAGCACCAAATCAGCCGTTAATATGAAAACATGACACGAGCAGAAGCAACGTACGGTGAATCCTCTTGAACACAGTGGTGCCCATGAACCTCAGGAACCGATCGGCATAGAAACTGGGTCTGTGGACTGACACTGTGTCCTGAGCAACAGAAACAGCTGTTATACACACACACATGAAAACACGCACACATTCAAGGATATGAACATGTTGAGGCCTCCAGTTCTGGCACACACCCCATCATGGACCAGTGCTTTCCAGGAATGTTCCACCTTCTTTATGAACCTGAAATATTAAAGAAAAAAAAAAAAGAAAAGAAAAAAAGATGTTATTGTTGTTTATTTAAAAGACGTGCATGTGTATATGTGTGTGTGTGTGTGTGAGCTGACCTGTAGGACTGAAGGATGTCGATGATTCCTAAAAAGATCAGCAGACTCTCGTCCTTATGTCTGGCAGGAATCCCGCCCAATCTGACAAGAGACACGGGTCAGTCAGAAAGTCCTCAGACAGGGGTTAACCGGTTCTGCAATTACACTTGTCCATATGTCCATATGCGTGCCATACCCCACGCCCCGCTACTTAAGTACTGCTCTAACGACCGCGGCGCCTTACGTCCAAACGGATCTAATTTGTTTGTCTTGAGTGCAGAGTGCGAGAGTTCTCCTCACGTGTCGTCATCGGCCACAGGTCCTGGGTCCCTTACGTCCCCCTGGATGGACTCCAGCGCGGTGGAGTAGAGAACCTTTTGTCCTTTCCTGCTGTCACAGCGGCCTCCTCTGCTCAGAGGTTTACGATCCAGGACGTGGATCCCCAGAAGAAGACTGTAGTCCATGATCTTGAAGCTCTCTAAGACCTGAGGCCAGGAAGAGGGAGGTGCCGTCATTGTAGAGTCCAGAATTTCTGAATTTCTTATTTATTTAATTATCTATACCAACCTCTGTATGAGTTGCCGGCCCTCAACTGCACACATTTTTTTTTTTTTTTTTTTTTGGGCGATTGTGTGGCCATTCTGCACACAATCCCCCAGGTTATAAAAAATAGATGTGTTTAAAATGAGCTGCTCTGCTGCCATCTAGTGACTGGAGGCTTGTTTATCATTCAAGCATTAATAAAAACAGGATAGTGCAGTACTTCTCAAATAGTGGGGCGGGCCCCCCCTGGGGGTGTAAGGGTCTTCCAATGGAATATGGCACACTTGACATACAGTAAGTTTAACAGAGCTGTAATGCCCAAGCCTCCCATCACTAGGTGGCAGCAACTCATACAGTTGGTTTGTACAAGATAGAAATATCCATGTTATCAGGTTCTCAATAGTATTTCAGTTCATGGGGGTGTGGGTCGGGCTGAAAACATTTCTGTCCACAAGGGGTGCATGACAGAAAATAATTGAAAACCAACGGTATAGTGTAAGTCCCCTCCCAACTACTGTATTTAAGAAACACTAGTATAGTCTAACAATAGAACACCTAATGAGTCACGGTGTCTTCATGTTCATCACGTTGTTCAGAACAATGATCATCCACGACCCGGGGAGAAAACACTGTTTGAAGGTGAGGGAGAAGATGAGCGTGAATCACAGACCTTAAGTCATCCTCTATCACAGAGGAACAGACAACAAAGATCGTTCCGCTCAGTAAAAAAAAGGTATCACAGCCTAACCTAACCTCACTGTCTCACTGAGAGTCACACAGGGTCACCTGACTGGATCACATGACACTCAGACAGGCACTTTGTTTACTGCGGACCAGCTGCCGGGACTAGTGCCAGACGGGGGTCAGGTGCTGAGAACTAATCCACATCAAGTGACGGCTGTTGTTGAACACTGACGAAATTCCACTGATGAAAGTCATCACTGCAGCTTCAGCCTGGGCCAAGGAGCTTTTGGTGTGTTTACATAAGAGCACAAATGATGGTATTTACACTTATATAGTACTTACAGGCTGGAAAGTACACATTTAAAAAGTCCATCATGTATCAACTGTGTTACCAGTATTGGTGCTTTACTTTTACTTTTACTTTAGAAATCGTCAACTTATGGATCAGAAAACCTCCAGACAATGGATTTAAACTTTGAAAGTTATTTGTCCTTAAAAAAAGACACGGGTTTAAAAATTGTTCCAGAACATACCCTACAGTCCCTCTGCAGAGTCTTCATCATGGCATTGTAGGTGTCGGCATCAAAGTGCAAACCCTCGTGCATCTCCTGGAAGTCCAGGTCTTTGAAGGTGGGGGAGGACTTGACTCGCTCTTTGCGTGACGCTCGCCTCTTGTAGGAGGAGCCTTTCAGGTCGTACTTGTAGTGCATCTTCATGGCCCGTGGCAGCACGTTGTTCATCACCACCACACGGACAGTGGTGCCACCGAATTGGATGCAGTACAGACCGTAGAACTTTGGAAGCAACGTTCTAGGATTCTGGTTTAGGTTCTAGAAGAAAGAAAACAAAAAAGTTCTTTGTATCAGTCTGTTGATGTACCACGCCAACCCATAATGTTTATTTCCAGAAATATTTATGGGTAGATTTATAACTTTATGTGCCAGTATGCAGGTGATGTATGAATATGAAATATACAGGTCAGTGGAAAATAATATCTTTAAAACAAAACTCAACAACCCCCCCATCCCCCCCTTGTACAATTATGTCACCTGGAATTTGATCCCCCCCTTTGTACAATTATGTCACCTGGAATTTGACCTATAACCTTCCAGTCAATCATTTAAAAAATAAACCTAAAAAATGTCCTATTTACAAAAAAAAAAAAAAAAAAATCTTTGTCCAAGAACTGAGGACCAGTTCTTTTAAATATTGAACATTAAAATCTCAAGTGTTCAGAACTTGGTGATGAGCTTTCAGTCATTTGAACAGGTTGCCATTCGCACGTTTGTTTAAAATGTGATATTTGATGCAAGGTCAAAGGTCACACAGTTTAACACTTGGACTGAGAGGATAACAAAACTGGTCAAAGAAACCAGTCTGAACTGGTTCTAGTCACTTAACACCAGGCACCTGCAGGAATGACAAAAACATCTGTCTGAGGACTTTTTTTTGACTCTTGTTTATCTCTAAATCAGGCGCGGGGCAAACTTTTTGACTCGTGGGCGCCAGCAAAATTGAACAGGGGCGCCAGCTAAGGAGCAGATAGATGGAATGTAAAAGTCATGCATGAAGGCTAAAATGCTAAAATGCTTTCAGAATTTTCTACACCATCTATTGAGGAAACATAGGTATTGCAGGGAAAAGGCAGAAGTATAATTAAAATATAAATAAATTATATCATTTGGAAAGGTTTGGCGGGCCGGGTTAAAAAGCTAAACGGGCCACTTCCGGCCCCCTGGGCCTTAGTTTGTCCATGCCTGCTCTCAATAAATCCTGGTCAGTATTTGCATAATAATCTGATTTAATCAATGCAATTGTTTGGTCCAAATTATTCCTTTAGTTGGGATAGATTGTTGTATTATTTGAATTTCATTGGCCACATTTAACACCAATGACCAGGAAGTACTTTGTTGCCATGCTCACCATGTAGTAACCAGGCAGCAGCTTCTGCAAAAACTCTGCCTCCTTGTGCTGCACCGTCTTAATGATGAACTCATCATCACTGGTTAGGTAGAACCAGGAACTGCTGGCTCCAGGGTTGGTCAGTTCGATCAGAGGCTCCTTACAGATGGAGTACTAAAAAAAAAAAAAAAATAATAATAATAATAAAAAAAAGATTCTGTTCTGTTCAATTTCAACAAAAATCCACCAGAGGGTGCTGTTCTCCACTCACCAGGTAGTCGTCAGGTTTGATGCCAAACAGTTCTCTGAAGTATCTGAAGGCCAGTGGAGCGTAAGTCTTCAACCGGAAATCTGGGAAGTGATGTGCAGGAGTCAGGTTGCTGCCATCACTAGACAAAAGATAAAAAACAATGTTTTAAAAGAGAAAAAAAAAAAAAATCAAAAATCTCTTGTGTGTGTGTTTGTACCTGGGCAGGAAGACCGTCTCTACCACAGAGAAGTCCTGCATGAGAACATCTCTGTCTGGTTTGGAGCTCAGGTTTCCCACAGCGTAGCCGATTCCCAGCTGGATGGCTCCTTTCAGGGCGCCTGCTGTGGGCTGATGGGACAAGAGTGATGAATTTACTTCTTTGGAAAGGTGATGGAAAAAAAACACATTTAATTTTGGTTTATTATTACTTTTTTTCTAAATGTTTCTCTATACAGAAATGGGAGGATGAATTTACTTCTTTGGAAAGGTGATGGAAAAAAAACACATTTAATTTTGGTTTATTATTACTTTTTTTCTAAATGTTTCTCTATACATGGAAACAGTAACAAAAAGTAAAGCAGAGTTTACATTTGGAAAAATTGGATCGACATTTAATTTTGGTTTATCGTTACCTTTTTAAAATGTTTCTCTATATATGGAAACAGTAACAAAAAGTAAAGCAGAGTTTACATTTGGAAAAATTGGATCTGAGGCTTTTTTTTTATTGTAACCATAGAAACAATCCTCTATTTCTCCTTCAAGACATCATAGTAAACAACCAATTAAAAGCCCAACTGTGAAGAACCTGAGTCAAACACTATTAAAACAAAATGAATGAAAGGTTGTTTTTTTTTAAAAAGTACGGCTGTCAAAATAACAGATTAATAATTATTTGGTCAAATGAATCACATTCAAATTCTTAATATAATTTAACACACTTTCTTAACATCCCATCCCAGCATGTGTTCGTGGGTGCTTCAACCTAAAGTCAGTGGCCAGGCTTGGGTCAGAGCAGCCTGACTGAGATCAGAAGAGTCAGTCATTCTATACGAATTACAGTGGCTTGTCCAGGACTGCAGACGGAATAATATCATTGAGGAGAACGACTGCACTGAAGTTTAGAAAGAAACTCTATGAAGAGACATTTTTCACTGAGACTATTGTAGATTTGTATGGACATTTTGACTTCTTCCATCATTCCATCATTTGGATTAGTCACAGATAAAAAAACCAGGGGAGAAACACTGAAATCTACCTGCTGTTGTCGGTACTGTCTGTTCCACTAATATTGATCATATATAATTTGAATCAATTGACAGGCCTGGTTTTGTTCATCCATAATGATCAAATGTAGTGCATGGATATTGAGACATATCAACTGGTTCACTCACCTTTTTGTGGTCTTTATTTTGAGCTTTCGATGGTTTAATTCCTCTTTCTGAACGTTTGCCCGTGGAAGTCGACATTCTTTGGGTCATGAATTGAGGGAAGTTCTGCCAAACGTTCAGTTCCTTTTACACTGCTCTTCCCCCTCTTCTTCTTCCTCTTCCTCCTCCTCAGTAACGAATGACCAAGTACAACTGCAAGGTCCAGCCCTGAGTGTCCTGCAGGTAAGGCCAACAGAGCAGGATTTTTTTTTTCACTGAGTTACATTTGCATTAATGTCCATGCAAAGCTGCTTCTTAGTGGCTTTAACGCAGACTATTCCAAACACATGCTGTAACCTACTGTAGTGTACCGGGGCCTCAGTTCTCCTCAATCCTTCCGAGGTGGAGAAGGATTAGGAAAAAAAAAAAAACATTACGTATGAAATCCTTCTGTTTTATAACTGTACACAGGAACTTCAACAACAACAACAACACCTCCAGTCGTCAAACGTTCCGATTAAAGACAGAGCACCCACTCTGTGTAATCAAGACGTTGCGACTTTTGGTCACTGCAGCAGCACAGGGACGACAACAAAGTTTATTTAGGACGTAAAAAGAAAGACGGGGAAAATGAGCAAAAACCCTGAGATCGGGTTATTTAAAGGTCAATTCAAGGTAATTTCCAGTGAGTCTCAGTGGCCTCACCACTGGTTTCCTTCATCTGATGTTAGTGCCCAGTGGTGACATCACAGCAGATTACATGGAAACACACTAATCTGGGGTTTACATTATGTAATATTTAATATTGTGGGGGGGGGGGGGGGGGGGGGGGTGGATGGTCAGAGCAGTTTACTGTAATAATGATGTTTATTTCTCTCTTCTTTTGTTTCAACATGTTTTGGCCGATCAAAGAAAGTTTTTGGTTATTTATCTTCCTTTTCTATGACAAATTATTTTTTACTTTTATGGCTCATTAGAACTTCTTTCATTGGTTCTTCAACGCAACGTATGTATGTATATATATATATATAATATAAATAGAACTATAGATACAATAACATTTTAAAAATATTTATCAAAAAATAAAATGAAACTCAGAGAAGGATAAAGCATGGTAAATCTAGTATTAAAAATAAATTTAAGGTGAACTTTACACTCCTGCTTTCCAGTAAACAAAGTGTAATTTACAACTAAGTAGCTGAGTAATTAAATGTCTCAACTAATTAGTGACTAGGAATACACTCAGACTAGGACTGTTGTACCGTGCCCATGTGGGATTGCTCCTTAAAGCGTGGATTCTAGGGCTATTATGAGGGCAACTTAGTGTCATGCAGAGTTCACCTGAGATAAATCAACCTGAACACTCTCACTTGCTGCTATTTTTGCATACATGCAAAACAAGCCAGCAGCTCCTCCGGCCCAGAGCTGACACTTTATTTACTGTGTCTGCCCGTTGAAAAGGGAAGTGCACTTCATTTCCTTCTCTGATACCATCGTCAGCTCTGGCGCTGGGGTTCACAGCATATACTGTATATCTGCATATTCACACACACCAAAAACTGGGCCTGTGACACGGGAAGCTCAGATCTGACCGGCGCTGTTCACCTTCACCACAGATAAGGTTTAAGGACCTAGTACTTAAAAGTAGAATTTTGACGCCACTTCTAAAACGTGTGATATCATCAAAAATCTGCAATGGTGGTTTTTAAAAGACAGATATTATCTGCTATAACGTGTGCCTTAATAGTGTTTGATTGTCAAGAAAAATATAAATATCTGTAACCCCTAAAACTTCAGCCCGTAACTTAACCTCTAATTATTGGTAAAGTAGATCAGTATTCTTAGTTTTTAAGGGTCACTGTATAATGGTTTAAAAAAAAAAAAGTCCTCTAATTATTGGTAAAGTAGATCAGTATTCTTAGTTTTTAAGGGTCACTGTATAATGGTTTAAAAAAAAAAAACGTTTTTGTTAATTTCCTGTTGACAAACTTCTGAGAAAACTATCTGCTGACATGACAACAGAGCAATAGATATTGAAACGCTCCGAGAAAGTAAAAAGAGCAGGAACAGACCAATCATTGTTACTTTACCTGAAGGAACATGGTCACGGGGAGACGCAGCCACAGAGAGACTACGATCATGCGGTCACGATGTGTGTTTCTATCTGTCTGACCCTTCTGTGTTCTGATATCACACGAAAAGCTGTGGTAAAAAAAAAAAAAGGTGCTGCAGTCAATGTGGAGCATCCTAACCGCTTCCTCTCTCTCTCTCTCTCTCTCTCTCCACCTCTCTGTGTGTGTCTCTCTCTCTCTCCACCTACGTACCACTTGTCCTTTTCCGCAGGCTGAATCAGACTCGGTTGCATTTCTTGTAACTGCTGGGAAATTACTTTTTTAACATAAACAGAAACATAATTAAATAACATTTCCAAAACTATTACATTAATAAGAAAACAAAAAAATGTAAAGTGTACATAGAAACCTGTTTGTCAGAGAGATCAGGTTATCTCCGGGCTATTAAACGCACCTGAATATTAGGCGCACCGACTAAATTTAAAAAGAAAAAATAATTGTACATTTTTCACTTTTAATTAAATAAATAAATGTTTGTTTTTTTCTCCGAACAGTGCCTGTAACAGGGCTGTTTACACACAGTTCTTTCCTGCTTCGGAGCCCCGATCGTAGTTGGACTGAACAGGAGGAAACCAAGTGATTTTCTCTCGGGCCGAAGCTAACATTAACTCTAACATTAGCAAGCACAAAGTGAAGGGACTTAGCCCTAACTCTCTTCACTTTGTGCTTGTCCACAGCAGAGGTAAACGGAAACAGTGAAGTCGGGGTCTTTATTATCAGCCACACTGACCACAACAGAACATAAACAGAGTTTTAACAGCTCCTGTATAACCAACTCACACTTCAAGATGACAGGCGCTCAAACTGCTCTCGACTTTAGCTACCGTTTCTCTTTCTCTTGCGCGCCCGACGCACACAGCCATTCACAGACAGAAATATGCTACTGGTATAACACACAGTAGCCTAGCAAAAATGTCATTGGTTGCTAGCGCTATGAACTTTGTTAGCCTGTCCTTAAAAGTCCTTAAATTAGCTGCAACATTGTTTAAGCCGCAGGGTTCAAAGCAAGTGCAAAAAGTAACGGCTTATAGTCTGGGAATTATCGCAGCTGTTAAATTTCAACACGTGAATTGATTTGTTTGTAGTACTGTTGTTTTTTTTTATTATTATTATTTATGAATTATTATTTGTTAATAAATGGATTTGAAACCACATCTTCTGTAGGCAGAGAGGTTGCGAGAGAAACCAGGCAGAAATTAAAATCATGTAAATGGTATAGCACATTTATGTATTATTTGAGCTTTAATCAGAAGCTAAATTTTCTATATCTGCACTCAGTCTGTATCTAGGACAGTGGTGGCGTAGTGGTTAAGAAAGCAGACTTGAGTCCAGAAGGCTTCAGGTTCGAGTCCACCAGCTGTTCTGAGCATAGCACCGTCCAACATACTGCTCCCTGGGCAGCTTAAAGCTGCCCACTGTTGACTTTGGTGATGGGTTAAGAGCAGAGGTCACATTTGGTTGTGATGTACTGTGTCACAATGACAAGTGGTTCATTTTCCTTCTAATTTACATACATTTTTTTTGTAATTGAATTCATCTCATTTCTTCTTTTTTCCCCTACTGCCACTCACATTTATAATTTACATACATCTTTTTTGTAATTGAATTCATCTCATTTTTTTTTTTTTCCCCTACTGCCACTCACATTTAAACCAAAAAACGAGTGCACGCGGGCACAACACGCAAGAATGTCATTGTAAGATGAGTAAGGCGTCTGTCACACTGACCTCTACTGTAGCGAGAACCGTTGCAGCTCTCAGACCATCCAGTTTCATTCCTCCGGGGCAGTTACCTTTACTTTTGTTTTCTCAAAAAACTGCCCTCATTTGCTCCACTTCCTGTTTCCTGTCTGTAGCTGTGCCATTTTCCTGTTTTGTCGTTTCAGTTTTTTATACAGCTTCAAACCATCCTCTCTTTAACTCTCTGCACATGCCTCTCTTTTTTTTCTTTTTTCATAACTGGGCCAGAGATCAGGCTGTTTGTTGAGGTTTGTTTGGGAACACCAGAGGGGACAGGCTGCCTACCAGTCGCCCGTCAGGACTTCAGTGTGAGGCCATCAGATATGATCTACAGTTCTCCAGTTCTTTCAGTGTGCAGTGAGTTCCAGAGTTCTGTGGGCCCAAAGTCTGAAACTAGGATTTCTCAGTTGTGTTGTATGGCTGGATGAGGTACTTTGTGGCACTGAGGGATTTGTAACTTGACCGGCGAGATGGAAGAGGTGGCAGTAGAGATATGTAGAACTGAGTGTCATTGATGCGTGACTGAAAACACGTTATTTACAGCCTTTGTGTCCTTGAAGATCACACTAAAACAAAGGTCTTGTAGTTAGTGACTAGACCAGGAGTGGGCAAACGTTATGACCACAAGGGGGCCGGGACAGCAGCAGATAGATGGAGTGTTGGTGCGAACTAAGATAAATGATATGACATAAGTCATACATAAAGGCTAACATTTTAGAATTTTCTACGCCATCTATTTGGGACTCGTGTGTATTGCAGGGAAAAAGGCAGAAGTGTAATGAAAATATAAATAAATTATAGAATTTGGAAACGTTCGGCAGGCCGGATTAAAAACCTGAACGGTCCGCTTTAGTTTGCCCATGCCTGGACTAGAGGATCTTATTGACGCTAAGATGTGACCTTGAGGTCAAACTTGAGATTTTTTTTGACGTCAGTGGATGCACTTGAAAAAAAAACAAAAAACGAAAAAAGAAATCAAAGAATCAAGAATGACTGTGCCAATTAATAAATGGATCCAATTGGCTCTGTAATAGCCTGGGGAAGTGTCCATGGTGAAACTCTGACCATGCCCACTATACTGGGTTTATTAGGAAATTGGTAGTTATGAAAAATTGGAACTCAAGAATTAGAATGATCAATTATTGGCCATGTATAGCCTACTGTATAGCTATACCGCAATTAACCCAGTGGTTCTTAATTATTTTCTGTCATTTCACACCCACCCATCCCCCCCTACCCACACACCTGCGGATTGAAATACTATTGAGAACCTGATAACGTATATTTCTATCTGTACAAACCAACTGTATGAGTTGCTGCCACCTAGTGATGGGAGGCTTGGGCATTACAGCTCTGTTAAACTTACTGTATGTACATTGGGCCATATTTCATTGTAAGACCCTTACGCCCCCAGGGGGGCCCGCCCCACTATTTGAGTACTGCACCATCCTGTTTTTATTAATGCTTGAATGAAAAACAAGCCTCCAGTCACTAGATGGCAGCAGAGCAGCTCATTTTAAACACATCTATTTTTAACACCTGGTGACTGGAGGCTTGTTATCAGCCTAACTGTTTGAGAAGTACAGACTTAACCCATGCAGTAGACATTAGTAACAGACTGTATAGTACCAACGTCACACATCAGACATGAAAACAAACAACACTGACAGTGTTCAAAATCAGGGCCTATTTTCCTTTCAGTGTCTGAAGCCTGTAGGTCAAAGGTCCCTCTGACATCAGAGCTCTTCTCTTTATTTGGGTGCGAGTTTGAACATGAAGTTTCTCCACCCGACCCTTCACCCACAGAAGCAACAACGCCATTGGAACTCAGAGCCACAACATGATGACGGCAAACGAAGGATATTTTTTATTTTTTTTGGATTCTTCGTTGACAGATGTGTTTAAAGACAAACCGACACAGCCGAACCAACGATCTGACAGTCTGAATGTCTGCGAAGACGAAGATGACCAGAAGGAAGAATCACAATAAAAAGAAGAAGGAGAACTTGAATCTGTGTCAATTAGCCAAACACTGAAGTCGTGTTCTGACAGCAGATTTAACTGTTGTGCTTAACTGCTGTTAATTGTGTCTGTGTTGATGCAGCTCCGACACAGAGTCTGGCTCTGTCCTCAATACTGCTGCTGCTGCTGTTGTTGCTGCTGCTGCATGGACACACTCAGGCTGTCCCTGTTGGGACAACCACCAACAACGTAAACCAATGTCATTCAAACTTTTACATAAGCCGAGGCTTGTCAGGATTTTACACACGGTGCACCTGCTCATGGACGAGTTTCTCCAAACGTTGGACGCTCTGCAGTTGTCGGTCCACCTCTGTGTCCTGAGCTGAGATGTGTGAGGACAGGCCAGAGAGACGTTCAGACTGTTTGTTCAAGAGGACCTGAAACACTAACAAACAGAGATGGATTAGAGAACCAGAAATTGGACACACTATTTGACTTTTTTTTTATTTTTTTATCCACTTTCCGACACATTTCACATCAACTCTTCAGTATCGTACGATTTTTCATGTTCTCCAGAATTTTGTCCGTTAGACAAGACACACTTATGCGCAACGGTTTTTATACAAATACAAAAGAAACAAGTCTTTACACACGTCTTTAATCAATTTAAGTGTTGACTTTATCTTCAACTTTAATATTTTACTTTTTTTTTTTTTTGTAACTTTAATGATTCATTCCTGACTTTTTTCCAGACTTTTTCCTTCTCAAAATGATTCACTTTAGAACGTA